AACGCACACACCGTATTTAATTAGCCATGTCATTGTCTTTATTGAAATAAACTACCAGTTTTCTAAAACTCTTTAACTGCATGGCATTCTGAGCTGTTTATCAATATTAGTGCAAAGTTTTGAAAGCTATATAAAAAAACAAAGCGTTATAAATCATTGGAAGTGCTTTTCCCCCCTTATTTGCTTTTTGAACTTTGCATGTCATTTCAACTTTGGCTGTTTCTCTGCTTGTTTATAAGGCGGCATTTTAGGATGCCATGGAAGAGACTAGAAAGGGATAGCTGACAAGGAAAAAATTAAAAATTGGATAAAAAGTAAATGAATAATGTCATATTACCAAAAAGATGAGAGGCTAATTTGTGCCGACTTTTTGCTAATTTTGTTCAAGCCTCAAAATGAGGAGCTGTCACCCGCTCTGTGTAGCGCTGATGACAGTGCCAATGATCCATGAAATAAGCTGCCGCTGGCTTTGTTCTGATAAGAATGAACAAATCTGCACAGTGTTCGGCTCCCAGAATCTCATTTTCATACTTGCATGCAGGCTAAAAGAAATAAGCTGTTTGCAGACTTGATTAATCAGACATTGGAGGGGTTTTTGTCTCTTTGATCTCTTTCGTCTCCTAGGTAACTTGCTTGACATTAATGTTGAGCTTGAGTAAAGACAATCAGGAATTGTCGACCAAACTGATATAAAAATTAAAGACCTTGACACTTTAAGTACTCCAGTAATGGTTCCGCTTTACTTCAGAAAACATCTGTTTTCATTTAATTAAAGAACAAAAGAGAATGGCATAAATATTTTTCATAGAGACCTATTATTTCATAAAAAGGTAAAGTATGATAATTGGTATTTTTAAATAAGTGCCTTGAAAGTATCCAAAAGGGAGGAAAACTTTATAAATCTGTTACAGGCTAGTAATTTTGAGATGAGTAAAATATTTTATGGAATGGATAAGAAGTTTTTACAGTTGGGTTAGATTAAGCTGTTTGAATCAGATGCTTCAAATGATTATCAGCAAACTCTAGAATGGCAAGGTTTAGCAAGAAAAACTTAACTTGATTGTGAAAGTTTGTCTTTTAAAAATCTCGACTATGTTACAAGATGTGCCATTATATCTGTTTTATAACCCAGTATGATTTACACATGCTAAACCTGTAAAATTGAAAGGAATTAAAAAAATGTCGCTGAGCATTTGCTTGAGGTTATGCAGACGCTTTTACAAATCTTCCAAGTGGCTGTAAAGATGAATGCCTCCAGGGTCCAGCCAGGGCCCTGCTTTTCCAACCAGCTAAAGCCCTTATCTTAAATCCAAGCAAAGTACCATTAATCTTTTTGAAAGACCTTTTATGGCTTTTAATATATCCCAAATTAGAACATTTTACACCCTTGGTTCCTGAAATATGGTGATAAAAAGCCTTTAGAGCTTAATTTTCCTTACTGCTTGCTCTGACCAATTTGCAGTTCTTTGTGATAATGTTTAGACACCTTAATTAAAATGCAGCAAAATATTGGATGTTCTATATGGAAAATGCTGATACTTTGGCTACACATACAAGAAATGCTGTCTGGATTTTTATTCATTAAACATTTTTTTCTTCCCACATTGTGTTGCTATGGTTATCTGATGACCCGAAACCGTTTTTTAATATAAAAACTATTGACCAAGCTTTTGTGATGTTTACTTGGGTATGAAGATGCATTTTCCTTTTTACAGACGGGAAGGGGGATTCCTGTTGGCCCGTGTTATTTGTTTGTAATACTGAAACATGGCACGATATTCCTTTATCTTCTGGAGCTCGGGTTAGTCAACTTGCCTGGGAAATGAGCTTCCTCTCAACTCTCTTCCACAGAAGATCTTGTTGTTCTTCCTCACGTCCACATATTCCCACTCTTCATAGTCTCCACAAGAATAAGGGGAGCATTTATTTTAAGCACATGAAGGTACACAACATTGATATAACAGTTTTAGAAAATAACTTGGTCCCATGGTTAATGGTACATGGCAAATATGTTTTGGGTCATTTTTATTTCATACTCAAAACGTATAAGCTCAGTTTAAATACAAGATAAACTAGCTGAGTGGTACTTTCGTTGGGGAGTTTACTTGGCAGAATTTACATTTGATAGATAATGCATAGGAATATAGTTAAGTAGAAAAATCCGGAGTCCTGTGTTTTACCCTTTGGAAGTGGGGACAGGGAAGAGACTGAACACTCAAGGTGAATGTAGAGAGGCCCAGAGTACATCTCAGTCATAGGGAGCGAGCTGCGTTTATGACGGCAGGCTGTTACTGAGTGCACTTACTGCTCTCCTGCACTCCCAGCCGCCTGGCATTTAGGTGGAACCATATGAGCAGCTCTGACCAGAGGACTGGGAGCAGAAATGACGTGTGTCACTTCTGGACTTAAGCTTTTGGGAGCCAGGGTGAGACCCTCTGGCCAGCTCTTTCTCTGCCACGGTGAACTCGGCTCGGAAGCCACATGCTGAGACGCTGGCACCACAAGATGGAGGAGAGCCCTGCCCGTCTGCTGACTTTTAAGTGAAACGAGAAAGAAAAGTTCAGCCAGTGAAATGGGGATTCCTTTGATACTGCAGCATTGACAGGTGCTAGCCTGCTTTTTCACTTATGATAAACAGGTAGTTTTTCATGGATAGGAAATCCTAATAGATCATCCCATAGCATCCTTCAGAGTTTCATTTCCTCTTTGGGGATGTGCGACAGCCCTTTGATTCCTAGCCTTCTTTAGTTGACTTAGGTGAACTTTTCTGCAATAAAGAACTGGAAGTGAAAAGAGAATCAAGAGAACAGGCCCAGTCTTGAAGCAGTGCTCCTGGAAACCCCTCTCCCAGGCCCACAGTTTGAAAATGTGTCCTTTTGTCCAGGGCTGTAGCTCCTGTGCCTAGAGCAGTGCCTGGTAGAATGATGCATATGTGCCCTTATAATTGTCAGATGCATGTCATCCTCGTGAGAAAGGGGATGGCGGCAGTGTTGGCGCCGCTAATGTTGGTTTGAATTTTGAGAAGAAACTGGTCTGCCTTCTCCCGCGGGCTCTCAAGTCACACTCGATCGTCTTTTCTTCATGACCTTCCTGTTGGTGTGACCACTTCCACACCTGTCAGGCTGCTTCTGTTTGTTTTCATTCTTTCTATAGACCAGTGATGGCGAACCTTATGAGCTCAGTGTGTCAGCATTTTGAAAAACCCTAACTTAACTCTGGTGCCGTGTCACATATAGACATTTTTTGATATTTGCAACCATAGTAAAACAAAGATTTATATTTTTGATATTTATTTTATATATTTAAATGCCATTTAACAAAGAAAAATCAACCAAAAAAATGAGTTCACGTGTCACCTCTGATACACGTGTCATAGGTTCGCCATCACTGCTATAGACTTTCCTCCACTGAAAAATCAGATCTAGTTTTGCTCTGATTTAGAAACCCCAGGCAGGCTTGATTCCTACTCCTTCGTTTCACCCAAAGAAACTTCTCCAGGATCAACTGGAAGAAATGCCAGGCATGCCAGACCTCAGTGCTCAACCGGCCTCTCTCCTTACACATGCGCTCTTAACCACCTACTGAGTCTCATTATTGGCAAACAGATTCCTAACACTTGGGCTTCAATAGTTGACTTTAAGTGGCGGCCAGTCCTTTCTACTCTTGCTTAACACGTTAAGCGCCCAGCCTCTTTTGTCTTCTGGACGGAACATATAGTGTCAGTCACCAGTGACGGACTTGGGGGCTTAACATGTTAAGTCTGCTGTCCACTAATAGGCATAGGTCGTTGAGTACAGGGATAGGAAAGGTAAGAAACACCAGAGTTTTCGCCTTGGTTGTTTAGCCTGGGCTCTTATGTCCACATAGACAGGCACTGTTAGCTCAGACTAGATCCCACGCTTGTCCTGGAGACACCCCTGAGGGCGGCCCTGCAGCAGAGCTGGGAAAGCAGTGTGGTGGCTGTAGTCGCTAAGAGCTGGAGCGGCAGCAGCAAAGACTGGTGGCTGAGTTAGAGAAGACAGCGTGGGAGAGGAGGAGGTTTCATTATTTAAAAATGTATATATTTTTTAATTGATTTCAGAGAGGAAGGGAGAGGGGGAGAGAGAGAGAGATACTTCAAAGGTGAGAGAGAATTGTTGATTGACTGCCTCCTACAGGCCCCTACTGGGAATTGAGCCCACAACCCAGGCATGTGCCCTGACCAGGAATCGAACAGTAACCTTCTGGTTCATAGGTCGAGGCTCAACAACAGCCATGCCAGCCATGCAGGAGGTTTCATTTTGATTGGACCTTATAGTCTGGCAGATGGGTGTGAGGACTATGAACTGAGGGACCAGCGGAGGGAAGACTTCGGTCCTGTGGTCCTGGTGCTCAGCCTTTTCACCTGTCAGTGCATTAAAAGCTGTTGCCCCTCATACAAGTGGGTCATTCGCTTTCTCAGGTTTTATTAATGACATCTCTGACTGCCAGTCAGAGCTTCTGGGCAGCATGAGATAACTGGTGTGACCATGCTGAGCGGCTGTAATTCTGGCCCATAGCGAAGACAGGCGGTGTCTGTCAGTCTGTGCAGTCCATTGGGTAAACTGTTTGGCCTCCTGTTTGCTGAGATCGCTGCTGACCATGCTGAGCAGCTGTAATTCTGGCCCATAGCGAAGACACGCGGTGTCTGTCAGTCTGTGCAGTCTCATCAGGTAAACTGTTTGGCCTCCTGTTTGCTGAGATCGCTGCAGATCTTCACCACAACCTTTGTGGGCCCTCAATGGGCCTCAGTTTGGGAAGCATTTCCACCCAGGAGACGGGCCCGGTGAGGGTTCTCTGGGAGGCAATGGGCCACATCAGTGTAGCCCTATAGTTGGTTGCTCAAGGCGTCCGGAGCATATGGATTTCTCATTTCTGGGCACAGCTTTCTGACCCTCAAGTTCTCAAGTGTTTGTAGTCTTGTATTAGCTGGAATATTTATTTTCACTTTTCATTTTCTTTTTCTTCTTTCTAATTCTTAGCTTGGTGTAAAAATTGCCAAAGCGATTGCCTGCCATAAATTTGTAAAAGCCAAAAAGGAAGCTGAAAATTCACAGGCTGCTCGAAAAAAGAAGAAACTTGCGTGGGGGTAAGTTTACGGCTTTTAGTGGTGACGCCACCAGCTTCCTAGAAATGGACACATCCTGTGACACGCTTTATGGGTCCGCGTGTGTAATTGCTACTCATTGTCTTTGTACGCGTGCTGATGTGTGTCAGATTGTAAATGAGGAGGCATTTCTTCATCCTGTTTGATGTGTGTTTTGTAATCAGTGGAGTATGTGAACATTTAAGTTTATTTTACTTTGGCACTTAGTGAACATGTTACTTTAGTGACATATTTTAGAAATAAATTGAGATGTTTATGTTCTTCATTTTAGATTTGAAGCAAAGAAGAGATGGGAAACCAAAAGCAACATGGGCTACATGTAACTTGCCTTGCCAGAGTTCTTCAGGACAGTGCGTCTTTTCCTAAGTCTTCAGTTGCTCAAAAGACTGAAGATATCCCTGCTTCTGTTAAAGATGTCAGGAAATGGATAGAAGAAGAAAGAAAAAATAAGCATAACACTTGGAGGGTGATCATCAGTCCTTTTCTAAAGAGTTCAGCCCATTGAGGTGAATGGATCGGAGTGTTCTGTTGTTGGTACAGGAGTCTGAGTCCACGTACAGGGGAGAAATCGGCTTTATTTATTTATTTATAGAGACCTGCAGTGTAATCGATTTCACTTTTCATCCATTTGGTATAGCATAGCCGTTAAGCTCCTGGTACTTTGTTATCTGTCCTCAGTGGAACTGTACTCATTCTGGAATTGTGTTTTCAAGATTGGCATTTTTGTTTATAATGGATTCATCATAAGTGTAAGAAAGTCTCCATTGATAGTCTTTACAAATGACTTCATCTTAATGTTTTAAGAGTAATGATTGGTTCTTTATTGGGTGTAGTGGAGTTGATACTTGACAGTAACATAATAAAAGCAATTGGTTGGTTTTAGTGCCTTCAGATAAAATATCTCAATAAAACAAAGACAGCATGTGGTGTTTGGAGGATGATTGAAATTCAGCTCTTGCTGGAAATGTCTTCCTAAATATCTCAGCCCAGCCATGTCATTCCTTACATTACGAGATGATTCCTAGAAGCGAAAATGGTATAATTACATTAGAATGTTATAACTCAAGACAATATAACTTGGAACCTTCTAAGAACGTGGTTGGATTGTTCTTACTCCTCTCCCCCAGTTTTCCTTAAAAGGTGGGTGCATTAATGAGCTGAGAGAGGATTGGTGCATGGGAAGTAGACTTCATTATGTGTGTGTCAGAGTCCTCACTAGCAGGGCCTTTGAGAAACCATATGACCAGCTGTTGACACGACCACAGCTGGAGGTTTGGGGTCTCTGTCAGGCCTCTGGTATTGTGGCGCCTCCCTCCTCGGGGCTCGGTAGAGATACAGAGCTACACACTTCCTCTGGTTTGATGGTATAAATTTAGGAACATAATTCTATTAACTTGTTATTTCCAGATTTACAGTAGTAACAAAATTTCACTAATTTATTGGTGTCATATTCAATGTTTTACCTGTATTCTGGAGTAAGTAAGTTGCAATTTAAGAGAACAAAATCATATCTTGCTTCCACTTAGGTGAGAAAAGCCTGTATTAAGAAAGCAGGATTTTAGGAGATTGTTTATTTATAGAATTGATCATGAAAGGTTGTCCAAGACCAAATATTGGAAACTCTTATATTTTGTGATTTAATATCCCGTTGCACTTTGTAGATACAGTCATATACTGCTTACCTATAACATCTCATTTTAAAATCCTAATAGGTGAATATAAGCTTATAGCATAGGAACCTTGCCTTTAAAAAAAATCGGCCACACAATCCAGTGGTTTTGCCTGAAACGTTGAAAGTGCTCTTGAGCAGGGCTGGTATAGACTTCTCACACCCAGGGCTCCGAGACAGGCCTGTCCCGCGCCTCTGCCTCATGGTTCTTTTCCCGCACCCGCTTCCTGCAGCGAGTCTCACCTGTCTGCCCTGCGGAGGCCTTGCCAGGTGGCCTCCTCGGGGTCTTCAGATTGGGAGCCCGTCCTCAGCCTGGCCCAGTGCCAGTGCTTGCCACTCCTCCCCACTGTCTAACGTGGGTGGGGCATCTGCATTGGATTGGAGGCCTTATGGCAACATCGGATACAGTGATGGAGGCGTGAACTGAGGGAGCCACAGTTCATAAATGCCCACTATCTGGGGACCTGGATCTTGAAAAGCTCAAATCATGGTACAGCTGAAGGGGGTGGGGGTGGGAGGGAAGGGCTTAAGGGAAAGGAAGGGACTGTTGTCTTGGGTTCGCCCTGCTGGCACGTCATTTGGATCCCGATTTACTTTATCACCTTAGTTTGAATTAGACATTTTACTCATTAAAACGATGAAATGGGAACATTGTTCTTCGAGAACCCATGTTGCCTAAAACGTGGGGTCATTTGTCCTCTTCAGCTGGTCACAGCAAAACAAGGGTTCTTTCTGGATCGGTGATACCAGTTCCTGGGCTTGGACATGTGCCTTTACTACCCCTGGAACGCCCGAGTCGGGTTAGCAACGTAACTGTCAGTCGTTAACGGGGATGAGTACGTTTCAGGCCGTCAGGATGGCAGTAACGTAGCTGATTTATTAAGTACTTCAGGCTAAAACAACTCGCTGAAGAGCAGTAATTTTGAGCTTTGCGGCACTGGTTCTGAGGGTGTAGTTGGGAGCGCGTTCCTGTGTGGGAGCCCTCGGGATGTTCAGCAGAACAGTCCCTTCTTTCACCAGCAGGAGAGTTGAATGTGTAATCTCAGGTTTGCTATAATTAGTTCTGATGACAGAGCTAAATGCCATGGCCAGGACTATAAATCAGCAGTTAAACAGGTTTCTGCAACTGATCATAAATCGCAGACTCCATATTTTAAACACTTTTTTTTTTTTTAAGAGCTCAGGGAGGGGCAGGCCAAGGACAGGAATAAAATGTTATCTGAACTTGGAGCCACAGCATGGAACCTCCCGTTTCAGATCTTACTGATTTCTCTGATACCTTTTGTCTAGAATGTTATCTTTCAAATATTTCAATAACTGAGGTTGATAGTGAAATAAGATTCCAATTGTGTGTCTCTTTTTGAGAAGTAAGTTTAGGGAAACCACGTGATGTTGGTTGGACTCCATTTTGGAAAAATAACTGTGTGAAGCCTAGTGGTCCAGCTCAGAACCAACTGGAACAGTCAAGCTCTCCCGTGTCCGCCGAAGCCGCTTTTATTTTTAGTATCTGGCAGAGCAGTAAATGCTTTTCATGGCCGTTTAATAGTTTTTCAAGCCAACTGTTTATTCATTGGCTTAAAATTTACACTCTGCTAAAGTCTTCGCTCTGACTTTCCTGAGGCAAATAGTAATATTTGGACAAAATATGTACATGAAAATCTTTTTCCAAAACCCAATGTAGATTGCTGTGTGTGGCACTGGTGCCTTCTAACGAGGTAATGGATGTTAAGTACTTTGAAAAGCCTGAGGCTTTAAAAAACCGGGGCCCTGCATTTCAAGGAACTAATCCAGTGATTCTCAACCGTGGCTGCACATTAGAATCACCTGGGAATCTTTTTAAAATCCTGATTTCTGGGCCTCATCCTCCAGAAATTCTGTTTCTTTGTTATGGGGTGGGGCCACAACATTAGTAACAAAGAAACAGAATTTCCGGAGGATGAGGCCCAGAAATCAGGATTTTAAAAAGATTCCCAGGTGATTCTAATGTGCAGCCAAGGTTGAGAACCACTGAACTAATCTTTATTATGAAGTAGTCAGAACATCTCTCCAGGTTTTCAGATTTAAATGAGTGAGAAATTTTCTGCTAGAAAGCAGATCTATGTTAGAGTAAATGTCAGTGAACTATGAGAAGATTATCTTGCGAATGTATATCTATTACTGACCTCTGTAGTTCACTGAGACAGTAAGACATGACCCATTTTCCATGGCTGAGGCTGGGATGCTCTAGATTTTGATAAAGTGAGCAGAGCTGCATTCTCCAGTCTTTACTATTTTATCCTCCCTCCACTCTCCTCACCTTCAAGGAAAAACAGGTCCCACCCATTGGCAGTGTTACAGCTGCCATCCGCGCAGAGGCTTCTGGGGACGGGATTCTTGACTCCCAGCGAGCACGTGGCAGCCAGCAAATAGATCAAGTTTGCCAGGAAGAACCTTAGAAAGGAGCCAAACCATTGTGCTCTCGTGTTAAGGAACATTTGGCGCCTCCAACAAATGTATTTCCTATTCCCGGTGAGGATTCTGGCGGTATGTGTTCATTTTGCTAGAATTCCTTCAAGTACCCTGGCTCCGTCAGGAGCTTCCTCCGCAGGGCTTTTGCGACCTTGACCCTGGACGTAACCGCAGGCTTTGGAGGGGAACGCCCATTAAAGGCCATGCCGCATGCTGTGTTCTCAGATGTGCTTGTAAAATGACATCTGATTGTCTGAGAGTATTAGCAACCCCTTTTTAGATTTAAATAAGGGAAGCAATCCATTTTTACATTAGGTATGTGCCTTTTGTGCCTACACCGGGTTTCTTAAGGCGGCACAGAACCGAAGGAATGAAGGGAAGGGAGGGTCGGCCCCCGGGCGCTCCTGGATCGTCCTGGAAGCCGGTCCACCCCTCCTGCGCCATGGCTGGCTGCCTCTTGCTGACTTGCTGCAGGGGCCCGGTCGGTGACAGGTATGGAATGAGGTAATCTTTTCCCACCTCTAATTTCTGAAGGGTGTGTCTGTCCGGTTATTACTTGTTCATCGAACTTAGAGGGTTAGACACCAGCAGCTCCAGTGCAAGCTGTAATTATCGATGTCTGTTTCATATTCCTCTCTTCGTCCTGGCACCCGATCAAGAAGCTAATGTATCACTTCATCTTCGGGCTGAATGTGCCTCGACTCATGATGTTTTATTTGATGGGATGGCATACAAGTATGATTGCCCAGAATAAAAACTGTTCTCGTGTGTCACGTGGGTGATGCTAGAAGTCGTCATGAATGTCACAGGAAGACTGAAACAATGGAGCCTCGCTTTGTTTTATTCCTATCTACTCGATACCCGAGAAATGTGTGCTAAGCACCTACTGTGTGTCAGACACCAAGCACAGATTGCTGGGAAATGGATGTAAACTGTGTTAGGACAACTTGACTTCTTTAGGTGGGCTTGTCGGAAATCAGTGACAAAGTACAAAGAAATAATCGACATGTAACTAAGTGACGTAGATGTTTTGGTCACACGTGTACAGTCTGTCCCGGATGCAGATTCCTAGCTGGGCGGCCAGCTGCAGTCACTCATCAGCTTAGCGACCAGTCCCATGTGCTCCCCTCACAGCAAGAGGTTGGCACCTGTTTTTTAGGCTCAGAGATGAGGGTCACAGAGGAACGAGTGCAACTGTTTTTGCACAATACTTGATTATTTTCTTATTTCTTTGTAATTTATTGACTTTTTTTAGAGAGAGGAAGGTCAAGAGAGAGAGAAACATCGATGTGAGAGGGAAACATTGATCCATTGCTTCCCATATGTGCCCGACCCGGGATTGGAGCCACAACCTTACTTGGTGTATGGATGACGCTCCAGCTAACAGCCACTGGCCACGGCAGTACTCGGCCATTCTAAGTGTCAGGCTTTTCTTAGCCGGTGTCAGCGTGTCCTTTTGTTGGAATGGCTGTGTCAGTGCCTGCCGTGTCCGGGTGGTGTGCACTGCAGGTCATACACCCCCCACCTATCCTGACCCAGGAGGGTGTTCCTGCCAACGGGGCTGTGCTCCACGCAGTCACTCCGAGACCCAGGCGGACAGCAACTCTCCCACCTTCTTCCCCGTAACCCCGGTGTCACCAGCTCAGTCACCTGGAGGGAGAAGAGCGTGGAAGAGCACCCTGGGCAGTCGTGGGCCTGGCCTGGGACTGGGACGGTCCTGCTCCCTTTGCTCTGGCTAGAACTTGGTGGCTTCATCACACCCACCTGCACGGAGGCTGCAAACTGTAGATGGGCTGTTCCCACAGAACAGGAAGTAAATGTCAGTAACCAGCTGGCAGTATCTGCCGCATTGCCTCAATCACACGTGACCTGCCCTAAAGAGACACCTCAGTTCTACTCACATCACAGAAAAGGCCACCGGTTGGAGAGCTAAACTGTTCTCCTCACACTTCCCATCCAGTGCTCTCGGAAGCC